TGTTCCAAATGCCCAGCAACAAGACTGGCTGGCTCTCAGCTTCCCTCATTATTAGTTTCCCAAGTAATTTTTTTTTTTCTTTTCCTCCTCTGATCTCATGGACTGGTAAAAATCATATGACAGCTCTGGGATGTTCTGAATCTCACCTAAGGTTTTCTTTAATAACTTTGCTTATTCAAACTTTTGATGGTTGGTGTTTAATATATTTAAATTATATGGACATCCTCACAGGAGTACAAAAAACTGAGTAAATATTTTTACTAAGAATTCCCAAATGCACCAATTGTTGTTTGGTTTTGATGGAATACCACAATAAAGTACATTGCAAAAGTTCTTTGATGCACTTCACATGTACATATCAGTTTTAAACGTTCCAGGTTTTAACTGGAGAGAAACACAAAAATCCACACATGCATTTTTGTACACACACACACACATACACACAATGACTTAAACCTGAGAGTTGCCTCAGGCACTTTGTGGCCTTTGTTGCCTTAAATTACCTCAGTTCTTGATTAAACAAAACGTCAAAGTGCCTAAGCTCTTAACTTGTTAACACTTATACACGCACACACACATACATTCTAATATAAATGGTCACACATACACATTATATGCAGTGACATACACACATGCACAAATTCCCAATTACTCATTGGTTTGCTGGTTAATGATTTGACTTTGGAGGAGAGGGAATTAAATGGTTGACTAGGCAGACTTCTGCGAGGTGTTCAGCATCCACAAATTTTTCCTCTTCATCCTGCTCCTCCTCCTCTCTTCCCTATCCTACCTTCTGCCCTCCACTCTGCATAGTAATGCCTTTGAATTGAGCTGTTCATTCATCCAGGCACAGATAAGTGCTGAATAGCGGGATGAACACAATAGAGAAATAAAAGAAAGAAGCTGGAAAGTGGAGATGCAGGATGAAGGATTTTGGTGGAGATGATAAAATGGTTTTGGTCCCAGTCTTTTTTTTTCTCACTCTCTCTTTCTCTTATATTTTGACAAGAGCAAGGAGAGAAAAGTTTCAGCTGGATAAAAAGAAGTAAAGTCTTCTGCATGCAGTCAGCCAATCCTCAGTGGTCTTTCGTTTTTTTTATTATTTAATTTCCAACTATAAAATGAGTGTAAGGATGGTATCAAGCTTTAACACTGTAGAAAGTTTCAAAGAGCAAGGTGGTTTCAGGCGGTTATGTCTGCACATATGGATATGTGCTTCTACTGTATGTGTACATGCAAAATGATACTGTGCATTTGCGATTTTTTTGTGCTTCAAACTCTGAGCCATCACCACAGGCATTTTAGAAGCAGAATAGTGAAGGACAAATGTGAAAAAAGAAAGTAAAGGACAAGAAGAAGTACTGAGAAAATCTGACAGTAAAAGAAAAGAGAAAGATGTTAGAAAAGATTAGAAATGTACAAAAAAGAAAAACTCCACAAGGGAGTGCTAGCCTCAGTCATTAAAGGGGTATTTCAGGTTTTAACCTGTGCTTCTTTATTCAATTGCTTGTTTTATGTGATGGCATGCAGTTTGAAGAGATGGTACATATACAGTGGGTACGGAAAGTATTCAGACCCCATTAAATTTATCACTCTTTGTTATATTGCAGCCATATGCTAAAATCATTTAAGTTCATTTTTTTCCTCATTAATGTACACACAGCACCCCATATTGACAGAAAAACACAGAATTTTTGACATTTTTGCAGATTTATTAAAAAAGAAAAACTGAAATATCACATGGTCATAAGTATTCAGACCCTTTGCTGTGACACTCATATATTTAACTTAGGTGCTGTCCATTTCTTCTGATCATCCCTGAGATGGTTCTACACCTTCATTTGAGTCCAACTGTGTTTGATTATACTGATTGGATGTGATTAGGAAAACCACACACCTGTCTATATAAGACCCTACAGCTCACAGTGCATGTCAGAGCAAATGAGAATCATGAGGTCAAAGGAACTGCCTGAAGAGCTCAGACAGAATTGTGGCAAGGCACAGATCTGGCCAAGGTTACAAAAAAATTTCTGCTGCACTTAAGGTTCCTAAGAGCACAGGGCCCTCCATAATCCTTTAATGGAAGACGTTTGGGACGACCAGAACCCTTCCTAGAGCTGGCCGTCCGGCCAAACTGAACTATCGGGGGAGAAGAGCCTTGGTGAGAGAGGTACAGAAGAACCCAAAGATGACTGTAGCTGAGCTCCAGAGATGCAGTCAGGAGATGGGAGAAAGTTGTAGAAAGTCAACCATCACTGCAGCCCCCCACCAGTCG